TTATTTATTTATTTATTTATTTATTTTGATCCTGGGGATTGAATTCGGGACCTTGTGCTTGCGAGGCAGGCGAAGGAACCACTGAGCTAAATCCCCGGCCCCGATGTTCTCTTATTTTTAAGGTATCTCTGAATAACCGGTCTCTGACAGCAGCTCTATCTTCTAGTTTTGACACTCTGTCCTCACATTGGTTGCTTCTGCTCCTCATACTTTCAACAGAACCTTTAATCTCCTGGTTCTGTTTGGAATCTTTTCATGGACTCTGATTCTTTGCTTAGGCTGATCATTCATGTTTGGTATTGTTGTATTGTTTTGTTTAGCTAAGCTAGCCTTTCATTACTGTCTTTTTTGAACTCCCTGATCACTTTATTACGTCCATTATCGGTTTAATTATATCTTCTTTGTGCTCCCTGAGCATCTTATTGATCTGCTTTTAATCTCCTCTGTTATCCTTTTGAATAATTTGGCTGTGTGGCTTTTGCTTTCCTCCCTCTCAAGGATCAGTTGAGAGTTTTTGGAGGCATTTTGTTGCCTTATCTTATCATGTTTCTATTGTTTTGTTTTGTGCCGAGGTTTGTGGGCACTTATAGTGGAAAAACTTGCTGCTACCATGTTTCTCTGAAAATGAGATAATAACATAATTGGAAAATAAGTCCTGGTCATTGCCATGGGGATGGTCAATGTCATGCAGAAGATTATACCTCACTATTCTCTTGCTCAGTGGCTACTCTGTAATGAAAGATAGGCAAGGTGGTTGGGGCTGACTTTTTTATATCTAGTTTTCAAGGCTGATTATTTTCCAGTTAGTGTCTGCTTTTCAGTGTTGCATTCTAGGCATGGGTAACTATAGGTCTTTGCCACTGTCCCAAGATTTAACCATCTCTGTTAATTTGGGAGGGGAGGATGCAGTTTAATTTTTCCAGCATGAAGTTCTGCAGGAATAGATCACAGTATTGTTGATGATACAAAAATAATCTGGATATTGTCATACGTAGAAAATGTATTAATAACAACAACTGTTCCACTCTGCAATAGCAAAATCAACAACAATAATATTGTCCTAGGCAAACTGGATATTGACATACCATGAGAATAAATAATATACTTCCTTAACCTTAGAAAAGAGATCTATAATTATAGTATAAACATAGAGACAAACCAAATATTAATGTAAATATCTACTAAATGTAACTACTCTATACTACACCTTCACTAAGAAAAGAATTCAGCAGTGATAACATAAAATTGACCATATAAAGATTAATAAAGTTTAATAGTTATACTAGTAAAGAAATGTGGATGGGAAATGGGAAAATGAAAGAAGAAACATTTGAAAAATAAAATAACAGAAGATGAGATAAAGGATCCTATTAAGGAGTAGAAGGATTTTAATAGAATTAGATAAATGTAACAGAAAATGAACAAGAAAAAGAAGATAAAGGGTCTGAGATGTAGCTCAGTGGCACCGTTCCTGCTTGGCAAGCACAAGGTCCTAAATTCAATCCCCGCTATGAGGAAAAAAAAAAAAAAAAAGAGTTAAAGGCCAGCCTAGATTACATAGTGAGTTCAAGGCCAATCTGATATATATATATATATATATATAT